AGCAGACCAGTTTGCAAAATTAGCTACAAACTCTGGAATACTATTAGATGAACCACTAATGCCATCCTCGGATTTAAAATCTTTTTTTAAGAAAAAACAATTAGAAAGCTGGCAAGAATTATATTCCAACTCAATAGTAGGAGTACGGTTTCGAGAGATAAATCCCAAAATTAGTAGAAACTATAAATAGAATAAGATGTAAACATGGGTTATATCCTGAACACAAATTTAAGATAGGTTTGGCAGATTCCCCATTCTGTAGTTGTAGGCAATTGGGTAATTTACAACATTTAATCTTTAGCTGTCCTAATTTTCAAAATCTAAATGAAGAATTTTACAAGAACCTGCAATTAACAGGAGCAACACTCCCCACCAACTTAGATGCGCTTTTATGTTCAAAAAATATAAAACTGTACTATGTTATATATGAACATTTGAAAAAAATGAATCAAGATATTTAAAAAAAAAATATAGATATATTAAAAAAAAAAAAAATAATAATAAAAACAAAACAACAAAAAAAAAAAGAAAAAAAAAAAAAGAAAAAAAAAAAACAAAAAAAAAACAAGAAAAAAAAAAATAAAAAAAAAAAATATATATATATATATATAAAAAAAAAAAAGAATTCGTCGCCTAAAATATAATTATGTATAATTAATTGTATCACAACTGTTTTAACTGTTGTTTAATTGTTAATATGATGAAAATTTTGTACTTTTAATAGATTTTAGGTTCCTTCATTATTAATTATTGTATTGTTGTAATTTGTGAAAATTGTAAGTAGGTTTAGATTCGTTTTAATAACATTAGCTCTGGCCAATTGATCTGAGATCAAGGCCATCATACAAAACACACACACACACACACAATCATTAAACATTTTTCTATAAGCTGCCAAAGTTTCACTAAAATCCATCCAGTGAAAAATAAGTTCTGTAAAAAATCGCAAACCTTTGCAAAAAACACTACAGATGCTATGTTCTCTCTCCTGCAAAAATTATATCTTGAAATTAATGACGATCGGGTGGCTGCAGCAGTGTTTTGTGATTTAACCAAGGCTTTTGATTGTGTGAATCACAAAATACTGCTAGACAAGCTTGAAAAATATGGTTTTCGAGGAATTGCTTTAAAATGGTTTCAATCCTACTTAAATAATAGAATTCAAAAGGTAACTTTAAATGATCAATCCTCAATGTCAGAACATATTTACTGCGGAGTTCCGCAGGGATCAGTACTGGGACCAGTACTTTTCCTTATATACTTTAATGACATTGTCACTATTAACATTCAGGGACAATTTGCAATTTTTGCTGATGATTCGACAGTGCTTTGGCTCAGCAACAATAATGAAACCTTGCATCGTATCATAAGCAGGGACATTGAATTAATTAAACAATGGTGTGACGCTAATTATCTAACATTTAATATTTCAAAAACCAATATTGTTTGTTTTAAATTTGAAATGGAAAATATTTCAATGGGAGCCGAAATTATTAACGTTACAAATGAAAATAAATTTTTAGGATTATCTATTGATTATAGACTAAAATTTGAAAGTCACATAAATTTATTATGTAAAAAGTTAGCGTCGGGTTGTTTTGCAGTACGATCAGTGACCTACAGTTTAAGTTTGCAGGCTGCAAGAAACGTATATTTTGCGCTGATAGAATCCCATTTGAGGTATGGCATTTGTTTCTGGGGTATATGTTCTGACGAGCTATTTAATAGAGTCTTTATTATGCAAAAGCGGGCCCTGAGGTACATGTGTAAACTTAATAATTATGCTTCTTGTAAACCCTTATTTTATAAATATAAAATTTTAACAGTAGCCAGCCTGTTTATATTAGAGACGGTAGCTCTTATTCATAAAAAGTTTAAGGAAGAAATAATTATAACTTCAACATACAATACAAGGCAATCGTACTACCTTTATCTACCGATCCCATCATCCGCATTAATAAGGAACTCTATTATATACAATGGAAGAAAAATGTTTAATCATTTACCCTTGGCAATAAGAAAAATTACAAATTATAAAGAATTCTATGGAAGTGTGAAAAAAATTATGCTAAACAAAACTTATTATTCTATTGAAGAATTTTATAATGATAATTTTAACTAAAATTTTATGTGTACTGTAATATTTACCAATTTTATTTTATTTTAATTACATTTTTATATTTTAATTTTAAATTGTGTAAATACCTAATTTTATATTCTTATTTTAATTTTAAATTGTGTAAATACCTATTAGTACTATAAGAACTTAGACTTTGTTTATAAAATTTTATATTTTAAAACAATAAAGTATCTATCTATCTTTGACCACTTAAAATACACTGAAATGGCGACCTTAAGCTTAATTTATAATTTTTCAAAAAATCTGTAAACTTCCATTGTTATTAAATTTAAATAAATGAATTATATTAAAATATAAAATAAAAAAATATTAGTTCTTGAACACGAGTGTAGTGAACCATCTATAATCTAATATCAGGGATCTATTTCAAAAAACTACTTTGCAACTTTTAACTTTGTATATTTTACTAAATTTATGTTTTATAAAAATGAAATTTGGTAAGGAGTTTGAAAATTAGAAATGAATAATCTGCAAAGGATATTATTTTATGAAACACAAATCTATTGTACTCGTAAATTTTCAAAGTGCAAAGTAGTTTTATGAAATAGGCCAAGAAGCTGAAACTAGCAGCCAGAGTTAGCAGCATGTGTGAGAAAATGCATACAAGTTAGATATCACAAAATACATACTTAATGCTTAATAAATACTTAATTTGTCTTATTATAATATTACTAATGATAACAATAATAATGATGATAACAAAGTGAGGATATCCATATTTGAAAAAAAAAAATATCAGTAAAAATGATATGAATATAGGTACTTTAAAAAAAAAACTTTAAATACATATTCAAAATGATCAGCGCTGGGTTAAATCATACATAAATAGATTCTTCAAGTAATAGGGCACAAAAACACATCAATCAAAAAAAATATTGAGTGCTGGATTGTTGAAATTATTATATTTGTATGCTAAAGTAATACCTAACACAAAAAACATATTATTTTTTTTAATGAAAAATTAACGGCGCTGGGTTCTATCGTACATAAATGGAATCTTCAACCAATATGCTATAAGAATCAGTTAATCAAAAGTACATTCGAGTGCTAGAACGTTGAAAATATCAAAAAACTTTCAGGCTCAAAATACATTTCTAATAAAAATGTGATTTCTCTTAACAAAAAACTGCAGGCGCTGGGTTATGATATAGCAGTGGTTACTCAAGCAATAGGGTGCGAGAATACTTTAATATAAAATACAATATCGAGTGCTGAATGTTTTTTGTTATTTTCAACGTTCTAGCACTTGATAATGTACTTTTAATTAACTGATTCTTATAGCATATTGCTTGAGGATTCCATTTATGTACGATAAAACCCAGCACCGTTAATTTTTCTTAAAAAAAATCAAATTTTTACGAGAAATATTTCACTAGCCTAACTAATTTTTGTTATTTTCAACGTTCTAGCACTCGATAATGTACTTCTGATTAACTTATTCTTATAGCATATTGGTTGAGGATTTTATTTATGTACGATAAAACCCAGCGCCGTTAATTTTTCTTAAAGAAAAATCATGTTTTTACGAGAAATATTTCTCTAGCCTAACTAATTTTTGTTGTTATTTTCAATGTTCTAGCACTCGATATTGTATTTTATATTAAAGTATTCTCGCACCCTATTGTTTGAGTAACCACTGCTATATCATATAACCCAGCGCCTACAGTTTTTCGTTAAGAGAAATCACATTTTTATTGGAAATGTATTTCGAGCCTGAAAGTTTTTTGATATTTTTAACGTTCTAGCACTCGATAAGGTACTTTTGATTAACTGATTCTTATAACATCTTGGTTGAGGATTCCATTTATGTACGACAGAACCCAACGCCGTTAATTTTTCATTAAAAAAACAATATGTTTTTTGTGTTAGGTATTACTCTAGCATACAAACATAATAATTTCAACAATTCAGCACTCGATATTGTTTTTTTTATTGATTTGTTTTGTACCCTATTACTTGAAGAATCTATTTATGTATGACTTAACCCAGCGCCGATCATTTTTCGTTAAGAAAAATTTGAATATATATTTAAAGTTTTTTTTTTTTTTCAAATATGGATATCCTCACTTTGTTATTATCATTATCATTACTAATATTATTATAATAAGACAAATTAAGTAGTAATATTGCTTTATTTTGTGATATCTAACTAGTATGCATTTTCTCACACAGGCGGCTAAATCTGGGTGCTAGTTTCAGCTTCATAAATAGGCCCCTATTTTATAAGATCTGTTTTTATTTTATTTTTTTAATTCAATAAATAATCAGGAAAAATAAAAAGATATTTAATTCTTCAAGCCTATACTTTAAAAGGAAATGGTGAACCTTCGTTTCTTATAGCAAAAATACAGTGAAACTGCGGCCTTAAATACCTATCAGTGCATTTTAATATTTAAATAAAAATTATTTCGCGTTTTGTATACCTATCTATCCAAACATTTAGCATAAACCCCATATAACCTGGAAGAAAATATTGAGTCCAGTTGGTTTAATAAGGACAAAGCTTTCTTATATGTACCTACCTACAATACAAGTTACAATATCTACTTAATTCGTCGAGACGAATTAAGATTGGCAAAATCCAATAAAGTACCATTTAGTTTGAAATAAAATTAATGAGTTATGAAAATAAATCATCAGGTCATCTCTATAATAATTGTTCATACTAGAGGACCAACATAAAATTGCCTTCTTGTTACGTGATTATTACGATATCAGAGTAAAATAAATTCAATTTAAATTTATTAGCGATTTGAAATAAAAATCAGGAGTCTTTATAATCGAATGGAAATCTTACATTACGAAAATGGTGGAGTGCAGATTTCATTCAAGTTGCCAGTTTTCAGTTTACAAACCTTACCTGTCATTAAATTGCTCTTCGGTTCCGGGCAAAGGATGTACCACGTATTGCAAAGAATTCATTTTCTACGAAATCACGCTTCGCTATTAAAAATCTTAATAATCTGATGCAACAACAATATATAAACACATTTTTAACGTTTCACTGCAAACAAATTGCCATGAACACTACCGAGTTGAAGTTAGCCACTCGTCATGTGCTTCTGTCACACACGGAGTCACACAGGGCTGAGTTCGAAAAATACACTCGAGCGCGCTCGATTGACACTTTATCCACAATATATCCCCTATAGCATTGTTTAAAGAGTAGAGATCACAAAGCACATAGAGGTTCCACGTGAATGACCAAGGTCAAAACCGACAGCTGACATTTTTTATGCTATTTGCTCCAAACTCTAGATGGGGCTACTGGTGAAATTATGATTTCTTACTCCATTTTTAAGCCTTATGGGAGAAAAACTTAACCAAAGACTCCAAAGATGTGACGTGTATTTATTTATGTTCTTGGTTAGTTTCATTTTTTCGTCTGATTTTAGTGATTTTTTGTTGGCTTTGGCTTTTGGTTTCTGTTTATAGTTTCGTCTTAGTTATTTGCAAAATTGTGATGTTTCGCTTTTTTATTTCCTACTGTGTTTTGCAATAATTTTGGTGCTACGTTGAAAACTTCATTGATTCACCATATATTCACCATGCATCTGCATCATAAAAAGACAAACGGGGACAACAACTAATTGATAATCAATTTATCACTGGACTAGATTCCGAAATCATTTTTCACATAATTAAGAGAGTAATACCACCATCTGTATTTGGAAGGAAAATACCTATTTATCATTGAATGAATAGTTAAAAGGATTCACCTTTTAATACAATACCTATATTACATTTGTCCTCAGTTAAAAAGACATTTATAAAATATATAACTTTAGTGTTAATAAAATGTAATATCCTAGTCTCTACTTCACATTTAAATTATTGATAGGTACCTATTTTAAAGATTTGAGATTATATATCTATTTGCTCCAAGTAAGTATTCGTTAAATATGTATTATTATTTGTATTTATTTTTATCTAATAATATTTATTTAAGTTATTAATAAACATATTTTAAGAATGTTCTATTTTATTATTTATTGATATATCTTATATTTATTTAATAAAAATATGCAGAACCAACTCTCCAAATTAAGACCCCTTATAATAAATTAATTCTTCAAATTTGGTATAATCGACCTAAATTATTTTATAAAATAAAAGTTTCGAACTTACTAGTGCCATACTGTATTTTATAAAATAATTTATGTGGAAATCATTTAAAATTTAATTTAAAACTACTACCTACTCCTAAAAATTACAATTTGAATTTACCGCCATCTGTCAATTGTCATTTTAGTTCCAGCTCCAAACACAAGGTGGCGCTAATTTGGTTTAAAAGTTTAACATTGGCGTGGGGTCTCTAGAAGATACATGCTTTGTGGTAGAGATAGTTGGCAGGCTAGGGGATCTTTAATAGGGAAATGCTTACTCGTGTTGTAGTACTGTGCACCACCCATAGATGGCGCTACTTTACACAAATTTTGCTCGTTGCATTCGTCGAGCAGATTCAGAGTGTATTCAGAGCAAGTTCAGAGTAACGCAAGTGTACGCAAGTTGTTATTTAAAACTTTCAACAGCTAAAAAAACGCAATTAATGGCAATAATGGTAATGGTTGATTTGTTTTATTAGGTTAGTTTTTCGAAGAGAATTTTTAAAGCTTTAAACATATATAATTATGGTGCGAATTCGTCCTTGTGCTGATCCAGATTGTCAGGATAAAGTTAGTCGCAGGTAAGGAATACATTTACAATTTTATTTCTTTACAAGTAAAAACTTCTTTTTGTATTTTATTCTTAAATACTTTGCCAAATTTTAAGAGCATATATTATTTCTTAAAAGTTCCCAATTTGTGAAATAAATTTCCAAAATAATGCGGGTAACCTAATGTTTTCTAGGAAAAATTAAAAATCTTAACCTAACTTTTATCATTTTCTATACAATTTCAGTAACTAGATAAAATATGTGAATATTAAGAAGATTGAAATAAATAGTGTTATTAGTATTTTTTTAGAATTATACATTATGTAATGGATACTTTATAGTAGATACCTATATACAATTTTTTTTCCGAATTCAAAATGAGGTACTTTTCAAACATACCAATAATTGTATATTTTATATTGTGCGACTCTTATTATTTTTTGCTCCATATACTGTGACCTACCTCACCTAGGTATCTTCACAATTTATTGATTCCAATTAATAAAAGTTGCATTCTTACTAAATTCAAATTCCTTCATTTTATTGAAAAATCTACGATATATTTTTAAGAAATGCCGATTCATTCTCACTAGCTAATAAATTAATAGCTCAGCTGAATTGACTCAAAACAAAAATAATAAAATTGAACTTTATATTTTTTAACTGATACTCTTCTTCATTTTTTACATGAAAACGAATCAGCAAACACTGCAATAGGAAGTGACAGTACACCCAACAGCAGCCAGAGCCAACTTTCCCCAGGAACTTTCGTTACAACTTCTAGTGGATACAACCATGGCTGAACTTCGTAATAGTTTTATATTCATATTTCTTTATTATTGTGTACTGTAATAAGAATTCGTGCAATTTTAATTTTAATAATAAAAAATATATGGTTATAATCGTGTTTTACTTCATAATAAGATGTATTTTTTGTTCCACAAATCCAAAATTATAATTTTTCGTTTTCTTTTTAACTTAAAATATTTCAAATTTTATCTATCACAGAACATAACCCAATGGATTATATCCATCTAAGTATGTTGAGTGAAGAATAAAATGTTTGAATCATTTTAAGTAAAAAAGAACGAAAAATTATAATTTTGAAAACTTAGTAGTGGTTTATTAGAAAGGCCGAGTTTGAAAAACCCGCGCTCATTGACCCCTACCGCCATCTATATAATAAATCTTGAACAAATTTTCAATTATTAGTTATCTTCTTTTTTTTTAACTCAACTATTTGCAACCGCTACGGATGGCGCTGAAAGATGAGTAAAATTTTTCACTGTTGAGTGGCCCATCTTTAAAGGGTATGGTCTGTGATAGTTGGTCAGAGACATAGACCGAAAGGTTTGAATATTTCGGAGACAGCAAATAGATGGCGACTATTTTTGAGTTCCCAAGAGTATATAATGAACGCCATTTTCTATCCATGTATCATTTCATTTAAAATTAAATTCCAAAAGAGGATGGATGAGTTACCATTTTTAGTCCACCTAAATAATTTACTTAGGAAAATCATTGTTGCCAGAGTAAAAATTATCGGAGAAATTTTATATCTAAATTAATTACCGAAATTACTGATTATTGTATTATTATATTACACCCAGCTAGCACAAAAACATCCCATCTACGTTAATAAGCTGCAATTTTAGGCTCTTTAAGGCTGCGACATTTGATCCAGCGGTTTTGCAACAAAGCAAGTATTCAATACATTGTACATAGATGGCAATACCTGTACCTGTAGCTCGTAAAACAATTTTATTTTTAAGCGTACTTGTTTTTATATCCAGGTTGCCAAATCTAGGTAGACAGATACCAATAAATGTTTTAGAAGAATAATATATATTTTGCGATATCCAGTTTCAATTTAATAATTGCACTGTTACATGAAAAATTAATCTGTCAAAACTTGTACCTAGTTGGTAAGTAGTAAGCAGGTTAAATGTAACAAGAAGAAAAAAAACATTAAATTTTACTTTAGAATAATATTTCAACATTTATTAACATTATTGGTATATTGTATTCACTTGTAAACTATATTTGACGGTCATAATAATAATTTTAATCCTAAAGAACCGGGTCAATTGAACTTTTCCACATCGCAATTTTTGGGTTGGAGTGAAAGGTATTTTATGGTTGGGTAGAAATTTTATTACTTTATGGTTTTTCCTAATCCGAAGGGTTTTGTTTACATTTTACCTAAAAATTTGCAAAACTTCTATAAATATAAATCGATTATTTTAGAATTTAAATGATTCCTCGATTCATTTCGGTAATAAAATAAGAATTTTTAATTTTTTATGCCTACTTATTAGGTAATGGTACCTCTAAAATGCATAATGATATTACTTAAGTAAAAATATAATTTGATTATAGCGTGATCGCTCATGCTTTTGTTGATTAGACAGAAATTGTGAAACTTAACAATCGATTGGATCGATTATTGTGAATTTCAGAACTAAGCAACTGGTAGTCTCTGGCAACTGACAAGACAAAAAACTCAAATGTCGAAGGATTGAACGACAAAACGTAAACAGTTCGTTTTTCGTGTTTGAATTTTGGCAGATTTTTGAGTGGGTGTTGTTATTTTTTTGTGCTTTTTCGTTATTCGTGATTTTGTTACTTTTATAAGACTTCATTAGTTATAAGGATATTTAGTAGTTAGTGAATAAACTTTTACCTTATAAAATATGGGGCATCATACAAATGTCCCGAGTAGAAAGAGGAAGAGAAATAAGATGTGCAATTGGAAAGTCATGTGTTCCCAAAAGTCGTTTGGTTTCAAAGTTCTTCAAGGAATAAAAGTGTAACAAAAATTTAATGTTGAAAAATATATAAATGATTCATTTCCAATATTTTTGACATCTGCATTATATTTTAGGTTGTTTTTATTGTAATATACTATAATCTTTTTTCTAATAAACTACTTTTTGTTTTATGTCTAATTTCCTTCCACCCATGTCCTATCAATAATTATTTTTGCAATAAACAAAAATATTTCGTTATTTTTGCAAGTTTTGAATTAGTTTTTATTAAAATTGCTCATAAACCGATAAAATTAACATTAATAAAACTGATTATAATAACTACTTCAAACAAACTCAAAATTAATATTGCAGAAAAATATCCATTTGTACACCACTTCATTGGCTTCAATTCTTAAAATTAGTCTTCATGACACGTATATGACATACAGTGAGTGCAATAAAGTTGGGCCCATATATATATATGGCAATTTGTTTTAATATTATGACCGGAAAAAACGTCATTTACCTCTGATTATTTAAAAAGTTGGCTACGTACGTTACTTACCTGTCAAATTCGTAATAATTTTGAAAAATCGCTCAAAAATCCTTTTTTAAACGAGACTGACAGAACTAAATCCAGTAGTCAAATTTAATATGGGTTGGTTTAAGTTTTTAAATAACCAGAGATGATGGTTTACGATGTTTTTTCCAATCGTAATATCAA